TAGTCGAAATAGCAAGAGAATGGGACTACCGAAAGGGAGGCACCGAGAGAGAAGTCCGGGCGAGGGTTTTGCAAAGGCGATTGGGGGGAATTAACAAGTAGAGAGAGAAAGTCCCTTTTCCTTTTAGTATAAATTTTTTTTTTCCCAACGATTAAAGGTCTTATATACCACACAAACAAGAACAATACAGATAACGACCAAAGCAGCCGAAGTCGGCAGTCAAATGGCCGAATTGAGAGGACATCCCAAAGGGAGCCTAAAGATCACAACTCACCCACAGAAAGAAAAAATACTAACCTCCCACAAGTGGAGAACACAACTCCCACAAGTGGAGAATAAAAACTCCCAAATGGAGAACAACAACTCCCAAAAAAGAGAACAAAAGCACACCCTACAATACAGAAAAAACACAAAACACAATACTGCACCTAACACAACACTAACACTATACTAGACTAAAGCCCACTTCCACGGCAGGCTGACAACACCACACCTACACCACTAGAACCCAACCCAGTAGGAATATTCACTGAGAAAGGTAACGAAAAGCGGCATACATGGCCACGAGAACGACACGAACGTCAAAAGACTCGCATCGGACCGTCAAACTCATCCTCTCTACGGAGGCTACACTGTCGGGCCAACACCAGGAGCGTGCGCTACTCCAAGCCCCCACACAATCCGGCGAGCTTGCCATCACCGCCCCCACCGGAGAACCCGCTCTCCACGCACCACGGAGAAGCAGAAAAAGAGGACCGAGACCACCGCAAACCTCTCCGCCGCTGCATGATAAAGACACCGACAGCAGATCCACCACCAGCACGAAATCCCACCACACCCGAGACAGCCATGGCCAACCGCAAAGGCAGAGTGATGAGGATGTGGTCATCGACCCATCGGAGCCCGAGGACGAGTCGCGCGAAAGCCGTGAGAAGAAGCGCGCGAGGGCCCGGGATGAGTATCGAGACCGTGCCAAGAGGGCCCGGAGAGGCTACGCGATGGGAGATGCGCTCACAATCGCGTATTGGGTCGATGATGAGAGCGAGAAGATTGAGCCTGGGAAAGTGGGCGAGTGGTGCAAGGCATGCGTGAGAGATCGTCGCAAGCAACGCACGATGGCTAAGGCAAATGGTGAACAAGGGGAGGATGTAGGGTGGCTAGCGTGCACATGGGACGGTGGCAATGAAGTAGGTGCGCGAGCGGGAACAAGCGCGATATGGCACGGGGATGAGTGGGGCTCGACGCGCGGAACGGTAGAGGAAGGGGTCGACGAGGCGAGCGAGTGCAGCTCACACGCGGGTCGCAGGGACGCGCTCGGGGTGATGAGCGAGCGAGAGAAGGTTGGCGTGCGGGGCACTCGCCAGCCGAGGGACGCACAAAGAAATGGGCGCGCGCGTAGCACGAGGAGGCTCACGCGAGGCACGTGGGAGTTGGATGGCGCGAGTCCTCGAGGGGCTAGGCAAGGCGCGCCGACTGAAGAGGATCCGCGCGAGTTGAGGCGCAAGGCAGGAGACGCGTGCGACGCGTGAGGCGCGAGGGAAGGCCAAGACCTCGGAGGACAAGGACTAGCCGTGACGGCTAGGGTTTGGTCGAGGCGCGCGGCACAAAGGGACGCACGATCCTTCTAGAAGGCCTTGGGCCGATTTTCCCTAGTAGCTTATGACTCATAGTTTGGTTAGGATATGGAATAAAAGGCATGTGCCTAAGTAGTTTAGGAAAGTCTTTATTTAGTTTTCTTAGGACTTTATTTGTTTACTTGCATTAGGAGTACTACTTGGACTAGGATTAGATCTATTTGGTATCTATAAATACCACCCATATGTCATTCGAAATTATGATGGAAAAGTAATAGAAAATCGTTCGTGAGAACAAAACCGTGTGTTTAGAATTCGTGAGAGTTTTATCATACAACCGAGTTGGCAAGGCTAAGACCCGAACCATCTCAAAATCGTGAGAAGATAAGGCTAATAACCGAGTCGTCCACACCTATCGTCGAAGAGTAAGCCGTGGCAAAGCTTAGTTCGAGACAAACGAGTTGGGAAAACACACGATCCTTCATCATTGGTGCTTTCATTGAGAGGTGTTGATCGTGTGTTTTGTTTAACTTTTTCTATCTTCTTCTTTTTCAAATTTTTGTTCTTCTTTTCGTGAGTTTGGTTCGTGAGTATAATTTCAATTTTTCCCCTTTTTCTTTTCGTGAGTTTGGGTCGAGTGTAAAAAAAAAGAGAGAATCATGACAAACCGAGAGAGATTCGAGATGTTGGAGGAAAGCATGAGGTCCCTTGGTGATGGACAACATGCGACAACGAGAATTTTGCAAAGTTGGAGCTCATGGTGCACGACCTTGCTGCACAACTTGCCCGAGCCACACGACGACCGCGAGGGAGTCATAGGTCGTGTTCGACCACGGCTCGATCGAGTAGCTCCGAGCCCGACCGCGAGGACCATGACCGTCGATCGAGGAGGACGCGAGCGTCTAGTCGACGCGAGGAGAGGAAGGTCGAGAAGCGAAGGCTAACCATGCCTACGTTCACGGGAACCGACCCGGACACATGGTTAAGCCGTGCCGCACAATATTTCGAGATCAATGACGTGCCCAAATCCGAACGAGTCAAAATTGCCGCCTACTATCTCGATGGTGAGGCGAACGTATGGTGGCAATGGATCTCGCACGTCTACAAAGGCAAGGGTATGCGGGTACATTGTATCATTACGCGCTTTGGATCGAGCCAATACCATGATTATGACGAGGCACTCACTCGTATACGCCAAGGTGGTACTCTTCGTGATTACCAAAAAGAGTTCGAGCGCATTGCTAGTCGGGTGCGCGATTGGCCCGAGAGTGCATTGGTTGGAGTGTTTGTGGGCGGGCTCAAACCCAAGCTGGCCGCCGAGGTTCGATTGGACCGACCGAGGTTGATGCGAGTTGCCATGGAGTCAGCACGAATGCGCGAGGACCATCTGGTTGCGGTCCGCAAGACAAGCCGAGGGGACAGACGCGTCGAGACACGACGTGCGAGCACGGTCCCCGAGCCAACACCGTAGGCCGAGAACGCGAGAGTTACCGAAGTGGCACGACCACCGAATCACTTGCGGCGTCTAAGTCCCGATGAGATGCAAAGGAGGCGCGAGAAGGGTCTATGCTTCTCGTGCAATGAACCGTTCACGCCCGGGCACCGATGCAAGGGTAAAGAGGTTTACCTACTCAATACATGCGAGCCCGAGGTGGAACGCGACGAAGGAGGATACTTGTATGTGAATCCGCAAATGGAGGTGTTGCACATGGTAAAGGCGGAAAAAGGACCTAAGATGATGAGGTTCGAGGCCAAAATTTTGGGACGAAAGGTCAATGTGTTGGTCGATGGTGGGTCAACCCTTAATTTCATCAATTTGGATTTCACCACAAGACTCGAGATTCCAATGACCGGGGTTGTACCATTTGGAGTACGAGTTGCAAACGGCGAAGAACTTTGGTGTTCGGAGTTGTACAAAGATGTGCCGATACAAGTGCAAGGTGAAGAGTTAAAGGTGGATTTGTTTGCGCTAGATCTTGGAGGACCCGAAGTGGTGTTAGGTGTCCAATGGTTGGAGACGTTAGGGCCCATAGTCACCAATTTCAAAACGGGAACGATGGAGTTCAAAAGGGCCAAGAAGAGGATCAAGCTATGCACGAGTGACGAAGGAACTGAGCCGGTCGAATTGAAGAGTCTTCAATTCATTCTCTTTGAGGACAAGGTCAAACTCAAAGGGGGATGGAATGATGAGAATGTGGTCATCGACCCATCGGAGCCCGAGGACGAGTCGCGCGAAAGCCGTGAGAAGAAGAGCGCGAGGGCCCGAGATGAGTACCGAGACCGTGCCAAGAGGGCCCGGAGAGGCTACGCGATGGGAGATGCGCTCACAATCGCGTATTGGGCCGATGATGAGAGCGAGAAGATTGAGCCCGAGAAAGTGGGCGAGTGGTGCAAGGCATGCGCGAGAGATCGTCGCAAGCAACGCACGATGGCTAAGGCAAATGGTGCACGAGGGGAGGATGTAGGGTGGCTAGCGTGCACATGGGACGGTGGCAATGAAGTAGGTGCGCGAGCGGGAACAAGCGCGAAATGGCGCGGGGATGAGTGGGGCTCGACGCGCGGAACGGTAGAGGAAGGGGTCGACGAGGCGAGCGAGCGCAGCTCACACGCGGGTCGCAGGGTCGCGCTCGGGGTGATGAGCGAGCGAGAGGAGGTTGGCGTGCGGGGCACTCGTCGGCCGAGGGACGCACGAAGAAATGGGCGTGCGCGTAGCGCGAGGAGGCTCACGCGAGGCACGTGGGAGTTGGATGGCGCGAGTCCTCGAGGGGCTAGGCAAGGCGCGCCGACTGAAGAGGATCCGCGCGACTTGAGGCGCAAGGCAGGAGACACGTGCGACGCGTGGGGCGCGGGAGAAGGCCAAGACCTCGGAGGACAAGGACTAGCCGTGACGGCTAGGGTTTGGTCGAGGCGCGCAGCACAAAGGGACGCGCGATCCTTCTAGAAGGCCTTGGGCCGATTTTCCCTAGTAGCTTAGGACTCATAATTTGGTTAGGATATGGAATAAAAGGCATGTGCCTAAGTAGTTTAGGAAAGTCTTTATTTAGTTTCCTTAGGACTTTATTTGTTTACTTGCATTAGGAGTACTACTTAGACTAGGATTAGATCTATTTGGTATCTATAAATACCACCCATATGTCATTCGAAATTATGATGGAAAAGTAATAGAAAATCGTTCGTGAGAACAAAACCGTGTGTTTAGAATTCGTGAAAGTTTTATCATACAACCGAGTTGGCAAGGCTAAGATCCGAGTCGTCCACACCTATCGTCGAAGAGTAAGCCGTGGCAAAGCTTAGTTCGAGACAAACGAGTTGGGAAAACACACGATTCTTCATCACAGAGGCACCACACCATCCGAGAAGAGCGAAATCTGGCTATGAAGGAGCCACGGACCTTGTGCCTGTCTTATAGCGGAGGTATGGCGCCTCCGCCGGAAGGAGGCGCCGTGGATTTGAAAGAGGGCCGAACGTTTTGGGGAAAGGGGAAAATGGGAATTAGGGTGAGAGAGAGGATTTACTAATGCTCCCTTTTTCTTTTTGTTCCTCTTTTCCAACTTATGCCCAAGTAATATTCGGGAGGCAGAAATGTCCGTCGGTTTCCCAAATCAACCTGCCACCACTCGAACCGCCAGCAACGATCTCTTCGCCGCCGTGGATATCGGCACTAACTCCTTCAAACTGACAGTCATCCGCACCGATCCCTCTTCCGGCCGTTTTCTCACCCTCAATCGCCTCAAAGAACCTGTCCTGCTCGGCCTCGACACCACCACCACCACTGCCTCAGCCTCCACCATCTCCGCCCAGTCTCTTGTCCGTGCGATCTCCGCTATCCGTAAATTCCAGCATTTCCTCTCCTCCCAGCGTCTCCCTTCTCCGCACCTCCGTCTCGTCGCCACATCCGCAGTCCGCGAAGCCTCTAACAAATCCCAATTCACAACAGCGGTCAAGGACGCCCTAGGCCTCCACGTGGACATCATCTCCGGCACCGAAGAGGCTCGACTCATTTACCTCGGCGTGCTGCAATTCTTCCCGGTTTTCACCTCCACGGTGCTCACAATCGATATTGGCGGCGGCTCTTCAGAGTTCACCGTGGGGTTTAAGGGGAATGTGTTGTTTTCCAAATCCTTAAGATTGGGACACGTCACCTTAACTCAACAATTCAGTGATGTTGCGAAAATGAGAGAGCACATCCAGAACGAGTTGAAAACCTCCGGCTTGGTTGAGAAAATTAATGGGTTCAATATAGATGTCGTGATAGGTTCATCTGGTACGATCAAGGCTATTGACAAGGCCGTGTGCAGAGGCTATGCTCTCAAGGTGGAGGAAAATATCGGGCCTTTTGAGGAACACGTGAGAAGGGAGTGGAGGTTTACTAGGGATGAACTGAGGTGTTTAGTGGACAGGTTGTGTGATGAAGATAGGGAAATGGTGGGGAAAGTGAAGAGGGAGGAATTTTTCAAAAGGCGGGCTGCCTTCATTATTGCTGGAGCTGTTTTACTGGATGAGATATTTAAGATTCTTGCCATTGAGACAATGGATGTCTCGGGTTATGCATTAGGGGAAGGGGTGATTGCAGAAATGTTGGGGCATTCTTTCGAGGGTTTTGAACTGAACACGAACGCGAGATGGAGGTCTGTTTTCAGACTGGCTTCGAGGTTCAACAATAAGAAGAGGATGAAAGCTGCCACCACTTGTCTGGCAGTTGCAAGGGTAATAATCATGAGCAATTTGAATTGAAATCTTGGACCTGTTGCGATTGTTAATATCTTCTTTTGCTATTGTTTATTGAGTTGGATGGTGCAGGAGATTTTTGGAGGCTTGGAGAAATGGAAAGAGTTCAGGTATGGAGGCAGTCATGAAGATGGGCTTTTGGCAACGTTGGATGATAGAAATCTCGAGTATCTTGATGCTGCTTGTTTGCTCCACAATATCGGCCTATATGCTGGGAAGAAAGGTTATCATAAGCAGTCTTATCACCTTATCCTGGTAAATCTATGTTTAGAGTTGTTGCAGTGTTCTGATTAATTGATTGTATCTTGGAACATTTTTTCAAATACTCAAATAAAAATGCCACTGATGGTCTTCTAGAAATCTTATCACCTTATATTTTCACTGGTAGTTTCATGCGTTCTTTGATACACTTGTTGGTTCGCTAATTTTGGAAAGCTGGATTTAATATTTCAGAATGGGGATCACCTCCATGGTTATTCCGGGGAAGAGACTAAGGTGTGGTGTTTTCTTGAATCTTTCATGGAAATAGAATTTTTCAAGGTTTTCAATTTCAGTGACAGTTTTAAGCTTCCAGCTTATAGCAATGCTTGTAAGATATCATAGAAAGAAGCTACCAAAGCGTCATGTTCTCAAAGGATCTGCAGAAGAGGTATCCAAGTTTATGAAATGATTAAATGTCCTTTTCATTCCTGATATACATTTGTCTTAATTGAATTGTAGGCAAAGCTGAAATTCAGAATCCTCTGTACAATTATGCGGGTCTCTTGTGCAGCTCAGCAATGTCTTCCAGTGAATTTTCAGTTCGTGGAATTTTCATGTTCTCCTGAAGGTTTCAAATTGGTGAGCTAAGCCTCTGTTTACATGAATCTCGATTCAGGCTCTTTCTTTTTGTTTCATGGTTTGAACTTTCCTTTTTGTGAGTATTAAAGTTATAAATCCTTGAATATCTGAACACACATGTTAATCATATCAAGATATAGTTAAATGGATAAGTTTAATTAATATGATGGCTGAAAATAAATTTAGTGCATTTAATGCAACCTATAAGGAATTTCTAAGCATTTCATATCAATTATGCCATTCTTTGGGTACGCATGGTAAGATGTTGCTTGAGATTGTTCAGATAATATCACTTATTTAAATCAAAGGGATAATCATCTTTTTATGTAGTGCCTCCTAATGTGCATGTTGTGCCATTACAATTTCATTTGGTTAGGGTCATCAAAGACAGTGTTCCTGCCATTAAAAACATGGCAAAAAATCTTGACACATATAATTCTTTGAAGAAGTTACTTGAGCAATTAGTTAATATGTTTCTACCTTTTGACATGAGCAGAGACCCGGTCTCTTTGCATTGGAATGATTTTAGCTTTCTACTTGGTTCTATCCATGTAATTGAAGACTTAAGTCCATTTATGTGTCACGTAAACAAAATTGGACTCAAAGCATTGTGGATGCATTTACAGTTTGAAGTGAATAGATTTCACCCGGCTCCTTCAACTCGGACGGTCGTCATACCTGCAAGAACCCAACTCCGGGAGGGGTCCCGGCATCGAGCCCCGACGCTCAAGTCAGAATCACTCCAAAACTCCAAATCCCAAGTGTATAGTAATGAGGGTAGAGAGAATGAGATACCTTAGCCCCCTTTTATAGGGGGAGTGTACCTTATGGCCCAAGTTGGGCTTGTCCAATAGCATTATGTCACGTGTTCTGGTCATGTGTAGGCTTATTTTTTCAATATATTCTCTTTTTATCCATTAAACCCGGTCTAGTATAATATTCTATATCATCTAGTGCCCCCACTCTGGTCGAGTAAGCATGACTCGATCTAAGAGTGAAATTCCTCTTCGGGCTGTTTCCGTCAACCTGCCACTGAGGTTATAATTTGAATAAATCATCGACCACCAAAGAGTCGCCAAACCTCCAAATGAGCATCAGGACCCCAAATGAACACCGAATGACCACTAAGGTAAAAAACCGAAAGACCTGCCGCTGAGGTCGAATACCGAAAGACTTGCCTCTAAGGTCGAATACCGAGAGACCCGCCGCTGGGGTTGAACATCGAAAGCTGAACGACCACTGAGGTCGAAAACCGAATGACCCGCCACTGGGGTCGAACACCAAAAGCCGAACGACCACTTAGGTTGAAAACCGAGAGACCCGCTACTGGGGTCGAACACCGAAAGCTGAAGGACCACTGTGGTAAAAAATCGAGTGACCCGCCACTGGGGTCGAATACCGAGAAACCCGCCGCTGGGGTCGAACACCGAAAGCTAAATGACCATTGAGGTCGAAAACCGAATGACCCGCCACTGGGGTCGAACACCCAAAAGCCGAACGACCACTTAGGTCGAAAATTGAGAGACCCGCCATTGGGGTCGAACACCGAAAGCTGAACGACCACTGAGGTCGAAAACTGAGTGACTTGGGGTCGAATACCAAGAGACCCGCCGCTGGGGTCGAACACCGAAAGCTGAACGACCACTGAGTTCGAAAACCGAAAGACTCGCCACTGGGGTCGAACACCAAAAGCCGAACGACCACTCAGGTCTAACTTTGATTCCTAGAGCGGATTTCTATGCTCCTCATTTTGCAATGTCGACTTTCCTTTGCTATCTTCCGATCTGCTTACTTTGGTGGATTTTCTCGATCTCTTCACGAAGTCTTGAATTTGAAAATTTGAACTCACGTCTATTGTTTTTCGACCACCATGTTCGAGCTCTCTTCATTGAAAGATAAACATTTCCTACCACCTTGTCCTATCATCACCCCCTCAGTTCAAAATTTGAAATTCAACCCTGCTATTTATCCTCTCGAAAATTGAATGTCCTGACACTACACCGAAGTCGAAAGTCGAATTCTACAGAACCAAATAAAATCATCAACCTGAATAACCTGACTCCGTGAACTGCTCCGAGTGAACTCCCTCGACCTACCTCGGAGGTCGAAAAATAAATTCGACATAACTAAAGTCAAATAAAGATCATCAACCTACCACGGAGGTCTGCAAATACACTCCCTGAGTTGCTCGAAATGAACTTCCTCGACCTACCACTGAGGTCGAAAAATAAATTCGACATAACCAAAATCAAATAAAGATCATTTACCTACCACAGAGGTCTGCAAATACACTCCCTGAGTTGCTCGAAGTGAACTTCCTCGACCCGCCACTGAGGTCGAAAAATAAATTCGACATAACCAAAATCAAATAAAGATCATCGACCTACCACCGGTTTGCAAATAAACTCCCTGAGTTGCTCGAAATGAACTTCCTCGACCCGCCATTGAGGTCGAAAAGTAAATTCGACATGACCAAAATCAATTAAAGATCATCGACCTACCACCGAGGTCTGCAAATAAACTCCATGTCTTCACCGACCCAATACTAGGATCGACCACCCAGACCGAAGGCCTTAGTCATGGTGGATTTTTTTCTTTGAACACATGTCCACCCTCGAAGGAGTGGTCATTACATGCGACCACTTAGCCCGGAGGCCTTAGTCATGGTGGATTTTTTGTCTTCGAACACATGTCCACTCTCGAAGGAGTGGTCGTTACATGCGACCACCCAGCCCGGAGGCCTTAGCCATGGTGGATTTTTGTCTTCGAACACATGTCCACCCTCGAATGAGTGGTCGTTACATGCGACCACGCAGCTCGAAGGCCTTAGTCATAGTGGATTTTTTGTCTTCGAACACATGTCCACCCTCGAAGGAGTGGTCGTTACATGCGACCACCCAGCCCGGAGGCCTTAATCATGCTGCATTTTTTTGTCTTCGAACACATGTCCACCCTCGAAGGAGTGGTCGTTACATGTGACCACCCAGTCCGGAGGCCGTAGTCATGGTGGATTTTTTTTTTCCGAACTGCTCGAACACTTCGACCTGCCACTGAGGTCGACAAGAAAACACACCAAACATCACGAGATAGAATAATAATTGATCATTTCGTTAGTCCCATCAAATGCATAGTTATATCAAACAAGATATAAAAATAAACGAAATCAAGCATTTTTTTTTTCGACCTCCCTTTCCTGTCTGTACACGACGACCTGAGTTGTTGTTTGCTCCATGCTTTCCACTCCTCACCATAACCAATATCCAGTTCACCTGCTCATTCATTTTCCTCAGCAAGAATTCAACAGATTCCATTAGTCACATTTTATCCACATCATCCAATTTGCAATCCCGATATCAATAATAACAAAAGACGATAAATCAAAGCAGTCACATTGGTCCACATTCGTTTATACCACAACTCAATCTACATGCAAGTCTCTACCACGATATGAAATCGCCTAAACAACCACTCAAATGTGCAGTCGACCAGAATTTCACAAAGCCATGAATTCAACAAACAATTACAACAAACCATACTCTGCCGCTACAAACAATCATTAAACGAATGCACCAAACAAAAATTCAAATGAGTTACTCCAAATATCGAGCTCCTTAGTCATGACGACTCGAGACTGGCCAGCCCGATGGCCTTAGTCATGCCAGATTCATGTTCAAGGCTCCACGTACACCTCATTTTCTGTATTTTGTTAGTCACTTGAATAATAATTCCAAACATATCCATATACACCACAATCTCAGCAATATTTCGCCCAAAATATTCAAACAATGAACATTACTCCAAAAAAGAATGCTAAGAGACTCAATGTTTCATTATATTGAGTCGATCGAATTTGACCACTCATAAGAGTTGGGATTAATTTTATACCTGAAAGTCGAGCATTCCCCTCTCAATTATCCTACCTCTCCAAAAGAGAATGATTTCTGCCTTTGAAATTGCCACCTGTGATCGACACCATCCAGACTCGTCCCTCATTATCACTCTGCTTTGATAGATCCATGCTCGCTCATTTTGTCCTCGAAACTCCACGACTCGTCCACCATAGCTTGTTGAGACTCGGGTTATTTCGATGTTTCCTCGACAAGAATTCAAATAGATACTATTATCCACATTATATTCACGTCATCCATTTTGCAATTCTCCACGCAAGAAAAACAAGAGATCAAATACAAACATCACCATCTGCTCGATTTAAGACATGCTCGAGCAATGACATGCTTAAAAAATTATGAATAGTCAATTCAAACACAATCACAAGATATCCGCAATCTGAAACCACGACCCGCATTTATTTTCAATCAAATATATTCTCCGAGAATAAATCAAATATCTCCACGAATAAGTGAAACAATATCTCCACGAGGAAATCAAATAATTCCACGATCAAATCGAATATCACCACGAACAAATCAAATAATTTCATGATCGAATCTAATATCACCACGAACAAATCAAATATCTTCAGGAATAAATCACATAATTCTCCATGAATACTCCAAATAATATCTCCTCGACCAAATCAAATAATACCGACGAATAAATCACATAATCTCCTCGAGTAAATAAAATATGCTCCACAAATAAATCCAATAATACTCTACCAATAAATCAAATAGGCTCCACGGATAAATCAAATAATTTTGCCCGAATAAATCGAATATATTCTCCATGAATATATAAAATAAACTCCACGAATATATCAAATATTCTCCACAAATATATCAAATAATTCTACTCGAATAAATCATATAAGTCCACAAACGAATCCAATAATTCCTCGAATATATCAAATATGCTCCATATATAAGTCAAATAATACTCCTCAAATAAATCCCATAAGCTCAATGTATAAATCAAATAATCTTCCACAAATAAATCGAATAGTATCTCAAACATGTCAAATTTTCCAATTTAAATCAAATAATTTCTCCCCTTCTCACCAATTTAAATCCTCAAGTCTCCAAATTTAAATCAGTCACGTACCTCCGTTATGAGGATAATATCTTAAATTACCTTACCGTCCGCGTCAAATCCCCTTAAATTAGTTTTTAGCACAAAATGAGGTTGTTAGACCAAGTTTATAGGATTCTGGGCCGTTGCTGGGCCAGATTCGGGTCCTGGGCCGCGGAAAATGTGCTAGGCCACACAATGGGCGCTGAAGAGCCGCGCAAACGGGCTGGGGGAGAGCTAAGGACGCGGGTCACTCGTGGGCCGCTCGCGGGCTGAGGCTATGAGAAAGGCGGGTTGAGGCGCGGGCCATCGCGGGCCGAAAGCGGGCTAATGACTTTCAGAAATGCGGGCCGCGCGGGCTGAGCGCGGCCCGCGCTCTTTTCCTCTTTCTGGCGATAGGCTTTGCACGAACTGGGCCGCGTGCAGAGTTGGGCCGACGTGTGCTGGGCCATTTCAAAACCGGGCTCCTACTGCTGGACTTCCTTGTGGGCTGGGGTGTTGCCAAGACCTGGGCCTCCCTCGAATCAGGTTGATGGGCTGCTCGAGGACCAACAGCTGGTCGCGACTCTGATGGTCACGCGTCACCCGCGTCTAGTTCCGGCAAAAGTAGCCAGAAAAATACTGCCGGAGAATGTTGTCGTTTCCGGCGAAACTAGACGGCCAGGAATGCGCCCCGGCGAGAAGAATTCGATGGTGTGATCGGTTTGAAGTGAATCGGCGCAAATCGCCGGAAAATTGGAAAAGATGACCGGACTTTGACTAACTTTTTCTTAGATCCAAAAACTTTGACCGGCAAATCGACGGCCTTCCCGAAGAAATTTTCGCATGAAAATTTAAGGGGAGAACGCGTGTAAGAAGAGCTTCACGATGACATAAGAATTTTTCTGATCGGACAACTTGACCGGAGGCTGGCGGTGGCTTCCAGCGGCGATTGTCGGGCTCCGTAGTTTCGTCTCAACGAGGGGATTCCAGTGGTGCTCCCGAATTTTTGACATCCCTCACGGATCGTCGGAAAAATGGGTTGGAAGGTCGGAAGTTGACCAAAATTCACTAGATCTACAAAGTTTGACCGGCCAAATCGAAGGTCTTCCCGGAGGAATTTTTATATGATATTTTAAGGGGAGATTCGCCTCGAGGAGATCTACCCGATGATGCCCACTATTTTCCGATCTGAGCATGTTTTCCGGCGGCCGGTGGCGGAGGTGGCGGCGGCAGTGGCGGCGACCGGTGGAGATGAAGGAGATTGCTGGAAAATTTTCGAGATTTTTCGATCGGAACTCCGTTTGGCTTTTTGAACGGGTCCCACATACGGCGCCAATGAAGTGAATAGATTTCACCCGGCTCCTTCAACTCGGACGACCGTCGTAGCTGCAAGAACCCTCCCGGCGTCGGACCTCCGACGCTCAAGTCAGAATCACTCTAAAACTCTAAATCCCAAGTGTATAGTAATGAGTGTAGAGAGAATGAGAGATGAGATACCTTAGCTCCTTTTTATAGGGGGAGTGTACCTTATGGCCCAAGTTGGGCTTGTCCAATAGTATTATGCTACGTGTCCTGTCCATGTGTAGGCTTGTTTCTTCAATATATTCCCTTTTTATTCATTAAACCCGATCTAGTATAATATCCTATGTCACAGTTAATGGTGCACTGACACATAGAACTTTTCAGGTACTCTATGAGGGTGATGCAAGAAATCTATCTCTGGACACTGTGCAGCCAGCAGGGGATATCAATTTGTTGATGGAGAAGGAATTGGAACACTTTAGGATGGTAAAGCATATTCTTGTTAGATGGTTTAAATTGAGACATTAATTACTTATTGGCATTTATACATTTCTTTTTGCAGGTATTCAAACAAAATTTGCATATTTTGGTTTCTTCAGCCGTTTCTTGATGGCCAAATAGCTGACTGAAGCAATATGAATCTGCTTAATAGTAGGTTTTGTAAAATGGATTGTATAGAATATGGATCCATCAGTTTATTCACCATATCTTCCTAAAGTTTGTAATATTGGAATAATTTATTATCTTTCATCGTAATGTATAATTATTATATCAATGGCCCCGTTTGGTAGATAGGGGATTGAAGATAAATTAGCGGATTGGACTTAATTGAGAGGTTTGACTCGTCAAATCCGCTATTGAGCTTGTTTGGTAAATAGCTTATTTGATAAGTTTTTTGGGCTCAAAACTCTAATTTAGAAAAAGCTCATTAGAGCGCGTTTTGGAGATAGAGGATTCACAAAAAAACTCAATACTTGGAACTTTTTAATTTGTCTTATTTATTTTATAGTCTACATTAGTTTATGGTGCTAATAAATAATAATATGTCATTCATATGATTAATTTATCTAGAAAAATGTAAAATTCATAACTTCTTCAAGTGTTAGTAAATTTTAAAAAAAAATATATATATATTTATAAATTACCAACTAAAGAATATTAAATGTTTTAATATATTATTATTAAAAGAATACACCTTAAAATAATAAAATGTCTTTATTAGTCATTTTGCAATGTCAAACATCTATAAACTTTTAGCTATTTACCAAACACTTATTTAAAAAACCGCTAATGCAATCCGCTGGTCAAATTAGCGATATATATAATTCGCTATCCGCTATCCGCTGATCGGCAAACAAGGCCAATATTGTCTCTTAAAGCGAAAAGAACCATCTTTTGTAATGTTTGATTTTCCCATTTTATCCCTGCGTCATTTTTGTTAACTGGTGAACAAGTGAATTGTAGAAACATCGGCTCTGTAGAATCATATCCTAACACGATCATCCTTATCAACTTTGTTGGACGTGGTTATAAATGATCCTTTCAGTTCTCTGTGTGTAGTTATTGTTAATAGATATGGGCACTTGAATAAATCTACTTAGTACTTACTACTTAATGTTGATTTTTGGTTTCTATCTGTATGTATGGCACTTGATTTTGGTAGTCCCATTCCATTTGTGGATTCACTCAGCTTCTGTCTGTATGCGTGGCACTTTATTTTTTGGTATTGTACTACAATAATGAATTTTTAACTTTTCTAATTGAAAGTTTCAATTTTAAGTTAGGGTTAATAACTTTTTCCCATCTGAACTTTCACGTTTTTTGCGCATCACCATATGAACTTTTTTTTTTTTACAAACCACCATCTAAACTACACGAGTTTGTCACTTTGCCATCTCAAACCAGAATTAAAGTAGTTTTTGTCAAAAAAAGTTGATTTGTAAGGGTATTTTAGGAGTTGTATATGTTTGTCACCCCTCTTTGACCAGATCTCCATTTCTTCATCGTTCTTCCTAAATCAGATCTGAAAATTGGCCTGCAGCAAAAAAGCACATCTCCAACAAATCGCCCTCGTTTCCTTCCTTAAAAATTTCCGTCGTCTCTCTCTCTTCTTGGCGGAGACGAGCAGCAACAAACTCGGCGACCTCATCCTTCTCGTCTGGAGCAGCGATTTCGGTGACTTTTCCCGCAGCCATCGTCTTCTCCGACCATCGTCCGGCCGCCTTGAAGCCAACACCTTTGAGAGCTGCGTTTTTCGATGGCAAGAGCATCGAGATGGAGCCCTGTCTTTCGGCGACTTGCAGACGAGCAGGCGCGGCGAGAAGCCCTACGAGGTGGATGCTCAGGCTGAATCGTGGTTCACGTCGCGAGTGGGATGGCGGCGGTTGGGGCGGGATGACGGCGACCCGACGGCTGATTGTTGGTGGCGGCGAATTTGGGGCTGAGATTGGGCAGTGGGTTGACCGTATTTCATTGTTTTGGGCTTCGTGGTTCACGTCGCGGGTGGGATGACGGCGACCCAACGGGTTATTGTTGGTGGCGTCGAATTTGGGGCTGAGATTGGCAGTGGGATGACCAACGACCGAGCAGCGAAATTCCGGCTACGACCTGACAGTGTTGCAGAACTCGAAGGAACACTTGAGGATCGATTAGACAACACAGCCTGAAACTCATCCGGGTAGGCGGAGGACTCGGAGAAGGCACTTGAGGGTCGATTAGGTGTTGCAAGAGATACGGTCGGAGAAGATAAACCAACATCTTCATTTTTTAATTTTTTTTATTTTCTTTTGGAAAATATATGATATTACAGAAATACCCTTAGAAATCTGCTTTTTTTTAGTCAAAACCACTTTTATATCCGGTTTAGAGGCCAATTTGACAAATTCGTGTAGTTTAGATGGTGGTTTGTAAAAAAAAAAAGTTCATATGGTGATGCGCAAAAAACGTGAAAGTTCAGATGAGAAAAAGTTATTAACCCTTTAAGTTAACCTCAATTGAAAATTTAATTTACATTTTAGTTCTCAATTTAAGACCACAACTAATTTTATATTAATACAAAATTATGTAAACACAAATAATATAATTTTGAAATTTATATTTTGAATAATTATCATAAACAAGTATATACATGTTTAGTAAAATTACCCTAGTAAGAAAAATGAATTCATTTAAGCTACATTTATGCAAAAGTTTAATGAAGCTTACTTTAAAATTTAAAAAAAAAATATTGAAAACTAAATTTAATAATTTGTAATTTAAACATTTTATTAATTGATAGATAAATATATAATAATGTTATTGTGTTTTGTTATAATTGGTATTATTGATTTTTTTTATCCATAGGGGGTTTATTAAAACCATTAAATTCAAAATATGGTAAAGTAGCTCCGGGGTGGGGAACGACCCCTTTGATGGATGTCGCAATGGCTCTATTTGCGATATTTCTATCTATTATTTTGGAGATTTATAATTCTTCCATTTTGTTGGATGGAATTTCAATGAAATTTTCTAAAATATTTATGAATAACATTATTATTTATAACTAGTATGAATCTCGTGTAGTGCACGGGTAACTGGGTAAGAGGTATTTATTAATATTTATAAATTAAAAATTCTTATCAAATAATATTTATAAATTAAAAATATGGAATTAATATGTAATACAATTTACGTATATTAAATTTATTGAAAATGTTATATCAAGTTTAAATTGTGCAGAATTACATAAAAATGGTTATTTAAAATTAGTACACAACCCGTGCGGTGCACATAACCGATAATAAATTACATTATATTCGTAAAAAAAAAGTGTCATTTAAAAATTTTTATTCAGAAATTCGATTTGACTATAATGTGATTTCATAAAATAGTTATTTTGGTAAAAATTTTATAATATACTTAACAACCTATGTGAATAATAAGTATAAATATAAAATTTATTTTGTTTCATTATTAAAATAAATTTAATTTTGTATAAACTATTCGAATAAAAAAATTAAGTTGAGTAATTTATTAAACTATAAATAATTGAATATTTTGTTTACATTCAAGTTAATATTGACCCGTAAGTTACTGAGTAATTTATTAAACTATAAATAATTGATTATTTCGTTTACGTCCAAGTTAATATTAGCCCATAAGTTATGAATAATTTTTTTTTTTATTTTTAATTTTAAATAAAAATATCTTTAATTTTTTTAATATATTATATACCGAATTTAAACCATGCAACTAGTAAAGGTAATGCCGCAAGTTTTGTCAATATATTATATACCAAATTTAAAATCATGCAACTAATAAAGGTAATAGCCGCAATATTTGAACAAAATAATTCTGTACATTAATTAGATTAATTTAAGCGGAATTTTTTAAATTTTGGGAAAAAAAATTACCCAATTTAGTAAATTTGAAATTTTAGGCGGGAAACCAAATGTTTTTTTGCTGATTTTTAGTTATTATTTCAAGTAAATATCATTGCATCTTTATATATTAATAGATAATAATATTTTGAAAATATGTTTTCTAAATACTATTTTTGTTTATAATATAAATATATACATATATATAATAAAAATAATAAAATTAATTATTTAGAGTTAGTCTAATTGTTTTCTAAACTTGCTATTAATGATGCTTGAAACTTTGAAATTTAGATAAACTATCTTTAGTGAAGCTTAGTAGAAAAAACTAGTAATTATGAAGTAATTTTTCAATCTAATTTTATTAGATATTTAGATATCAACCAATATAATATTTAAGTAATATATTCTTTAAATTAAATGTTTAATTTTTTAAACTTTTAAAATAATTTTGCTAAAAATTTTCATGAATGTAATTTATATGAATTATTTTTCTTACTAAATTAATTTTACTAAGATATTAATGCTTTTTATTATAAGTATTAATTTTATATATTCTTAACATTCTTCAAAACAGAAATTTTATTCACTTATAATATTTTCAACAATTTTATATAGAAAACAAATAAAATAATTTTTCTAGACAATTAATTTTTTAACGTTATTACATATTTAGATTATCGTGTATAATAATATATAAATTATACATTCTGAAAATTTAATTTTCACTTTTAAAATAAATTTCATTAAGCTTTTGCATAAATTTAATTATATGATTTAATTTTCTTATAAGGGAATATTACTAAAGATATTTTCTTATTATAAGTATTTAAAATATAAATTTTAAAATAATAGTACTTTAGTTTACATACTTATGTCAAAATAACTTTAAATTGAGAACTAGAATGTAAAAATAAGTCTTTAATTATGAATAACTTTAAATTGAAAACTTAAATTGAGAAAGTTGAAAATTCAGGTCATATTATGAAACAATACCCAAATATCAAGCCCTACAATAAAGTTTACCCATAAAAGCTCGTTGACAAATTATAGGATGACCTAGAATGTTTCATAATCTTGTTTTTATTGGTTTAATAATTCCATTGGTTATAAGAACTGTAACTTTCTTATTAGTATGGATATGCATAGATGTAAATAAATTATTATAAGTTATATGTATAAATATTATATTAAAATTATAAGTTAGATAATAATATTACATTTTAAAATTTTGATTATTAGTAAAAATAAATGTTACATAATTATCTAACTTCATATTAATCACTGTATTGATAGTATAAAATGTAATTAATAATATAATTTTATAATTATGAGGGATCATGACTAATTAATTCGTTGACAATTATTATTTTTTTTATTATAGCAATTATTTGTGCGATTGTAAAGGGTTTTACTGTACCATTAAAATCAATTAAGTTATTAAAAGAAACAATCACTTAAAGAGATAAAATAT